TGTCGATGTACCACATGACGATCAAATATTCGGTGGGCAAAAACGTGGGGGAGATCGCGGGAGACTAGCTCAACTCGAAGAGTTGTTATCAAACCACCGTGAGTAATAACAAGCAGTTGGCGAGGAAACAAGGACAGATGAGCAAATAGATGCTGGTTCGACCTGGTAGCTCGAGTTCAAAAGAAGATAATAATAAGTCTGACAAGGGGAAAGGGAAGGTGAATATGCAGCCTGAGGGAGATATCGAGGAGGTTCAGATGGTGCAAGGATGCACTGAACGCACATTCAAAATTGGCAAGGGGTTGGACGAGCCATTGAGAACGAGGTTGACTGAGTTAATAAGGGAGTTCACGGACTTTTTTGCCTATACCGTGGATGAGCTGACAGGGATCGAGGCAAAGGTGATCGAGCCTAGGCTGAATATCGACCTCAGCATGAGGCCGGTGAAGCAGAAAATGAGACACCATAGAGCAGAGATGGACAAGGTTATCGAGCAAGAGATGGAAAAGTTGTTAAAAGCAGGTCATATTAAAGAAAATCAATTTCTGGAATGGTTGTCTAATACTGTAATAGTGTCAAAGTAGGAGGAAAAATGGAGGATGTGTATTGATTTCCATGATTTGAATAAGGCGTGACCAAAAGACCTATACCTGTTGTCGAGGATCAACCAGCTGGTTGACTCTACTACTAGATGTGAATTACGCAGCTTGATGGACTCATTTCAAGGTTACCATCAGATTCCTCTAGCTCAAGAAGACAAGAAGAGGGTTAGTTTCGTAACTAGTAAAGGTACTTATTGCTATGTGGTGATGCCGTTTAGCCTAAAAAATGCAGGAGCGACGTATCAGAGGTTGGTCGATATAATCTTTAAGGGACAGCTTGAGAGGAATATGGAGGTTTATGTTGATGACATGCTCGTGAAAAGTAATGAGGAGGTCGATCACGTGGAGGATTTGAGGGAGACATTCCAAACATTGAGGAGGTATGGCATGAAACTTAATCCGGACAAGTGTTTTTTTGGTGTGAAGTCTAGAAAGTTCTTAGGGTATATAGTGAGAAAGCGGGGGATTGAGGTTAATCCTGAGGAAGTTCGAGCAGTGGTAGAGATGAAGCCACCAACGAATGTTAAAGAGGTGCAGATTTAAACGGGTTGAATAGCATGCCTCAGTAGATTCATCTCTAAAGTGGCAGAGAAGAGCGGACTGCTAATCAAAACGCTGAAGAAGAGCTTGAAATTCCAGTGGATGGTCGACGCCCAGAGAGCTTTTGAGGAGTTGCAAGGGATATTTGCCAACTTACCTTTGTTAGCCAAACCGGTACAGGGGGAGGATCAGGTGTTGTACATATCTATCCGGGAAAACGCAGTGAGTTTGTAACACCCCGTTTGATTATGGATTATTTAAGATTAATTATTTTGCCTTATTTTTATTATTATTTATATTTAATGTCTAATTGCTTAATTTATTATTGATGTTGTTGTTATTATTATTATTATTTTTATTTTGATTGTTAAATGAAAATATATATAGATCAAAATTGGGTACAAGGACCGTTCAACGGCACACAAAAGCGTAATGGATAACCACAAGTCGGTTCCTCATAGATAAAATATACGAGGACAATCACAAGTCGGTTGCTCACTCAAAGGTCACAGGAAATCAAATGCAGAGGGTCCCAATGGGACTCGGCCCATGTCGGATCAGTGAAACAAGTCTCGAGTCACACTCAAAGCAGTCGATGGTGCACTGTTTTGCTTCAGGCCATAGCGGCGCTAAGGGTTAGCGGCGCTATGAGTGATGTGGAACGCTGGCATGGCGCGGTTCCGTTGTGAAGAGGACCTGTCGTGTTAGCGGCGCTTTGCGGTATAGCGGCGCTAGGGAGTGACATTAGCTGCGTTATAGGTACAACAATGCTTCAATGTTAAGGCACCTATTCTCAGCCCCTCGTTAGTCCCTCGCTACAGCAAAAGTGGCGGTATGGGTGAATTGATAACGGCACTATCCCAGGCTAGCCGCGCTATCCCAGGCTAGCGGCGCTATCCCAGGCTAGCGGCGTTATCCCAGGCTAGTGGCGCTAGTACCTGGGCGCCTGATTCTATTTTTCCTCGCTACACACTCGATAAGGCTCTACCGGCGCTATGCAACCACACCTTAGCGGCGCTAAGCGCACAGTGGCGCTAGTACCTGGAATCCCCAAAAAATTTTCCAACTTTCTCCAATTCAACACATCTTCTCGGTTGATCAGCCACCCTTCAACCTCAACTCTCAAATACCAAACATTAAGATCCAATACTACGCCTCTCAAATTCGGCTAGTAAATTTGGATAGAGAGCAAAGATAGTGCGGTATACATGGGTTTTTACCTTCCGTACCACAAGGCATGCGAGTTGGTATTCATTTTCAAGGACCAATCGATTCCTTGCGTTCCAAATGAAGTAAACGGTGGCCGCTAGCGCCGCTTTCTTCAACTTGGACCTCCACCCCGCACCTTTCACTTCTTTCTTGGTCCATTTGAGGGCGCCGTTAAGGGTTGAAGGTCTATGCCGGAGGCTAACCCAGGCGCGTATCTCATTCCAAATTTCCGAGCTAAATGAGCACTCAAAGAATAGGTGGCTCCAGGATTCATTGACGACCCCACATTGTGGGCATAACGGGTCCTCGTCAAGGAATTCAAGATGGTCTTTTGTCCGGAGTCGATTAAGCACACCTAGCCATAGAATGAAAGAGTGCCTAGGGGTATTGCATGCCCCCCAAACAACCCCACTCCATGGCCTCATGGGTCCTCTTGGTCGTAGGAAGTCGTAGAATTTACTAGACCCATCTTTTCTATCTCGGGATTTCCAACCTCGAAGAAGGGCTTCCGTTCCTCGTTCACTTCCGGCTCTTTCTACCATACTTTGTCGGATGTTGAAGAGGGACTTGAAAAGAGGAGAGTCATTCGGTCTAACTTCCCAATCCCAAGTGGAGTTCCCCTTCAAATAAATGTTATGAATCCATTTTTGCCACAATGTGTCCTTATTTGCTTGCATGTTCCAAAGCGTCCGGGTGAGCAACGCTTGGTTCCACGCATTCAAATCCCTAAGCCCCAAACCACCTTCCAAGTGCGGTAGACATACACTATCCCCAGCCACGGGAGCGCTCTTCGATCCCCAAAGGAACCTTCTACATAGTTGAGTGATTTTTGTTCTAACTATGCCGGGCAAGTGAAAGATTCCCATCCAAAAACACACAATGCCTTGGACCACTGAGCGTAGGAGTTCGAGTCTTCCAGCATAGGAAAGAGAATGTCCATTCCACCGACTAAGTTGTCCTTCGATTTGCTCAATCATATCATCAAAGAGCCTAGCCGTGACATGGTCCGCGGTGAGGGGAACGCCGAGGTATCGAAAGGGCATTGAGTCGCACCGTAAGTTGGTGTTGTCAAGGATTGTAGCCCGACTATCATCCTTGACACCGGCCAAGTAAATATTGGACTTTAGTACATTCATCTCAAGCCCCGACTTAGCTCCAAAATCATTGAGGCAATCCATGAGAATTTGAATTGACGGGGGGTCTCCACGTGATAGAAGCATGAGGTCCGGCGAAGGCAAGGTGCAAGATTTTTAATTGCTTGCACATCAGATGGTATTTAAAGTTTGTGCCGACCGTGGTGTTGCTTTTGATAAGCTGAGAAAGGTATTTCATACAAATGACAAAAAGGAAAGGTGATAGGGGGTCACATTGCCTTAGGCCGCGACCGCCTTTGAAGTGGCCCTTGAGGCTCCCATTGACAGATATAGAATAGGACGGGGTGGTGACACACTCCATGACCCATCTTGTAAAAACTGGGAGGATGCTGAGCCCATCAAGCAATTGTTTCAAGAACGACCATGAGATGGAGTCGAATCTTTGCGTAGGTCTATTTTAACGATACATCTAAGGAAGACCCGTTTTCTCGAGTAGAGTCAATGTAGTTGTTGCATTAGGTGTATGTTATCGGTCATGTTCCTCCCTTTCACGAAAGCGGCTTGGGCCTCATCTATGATGGAGTCAAGGACTTCACTAACTCGCTTAGCAAGGATTTTGGAGCAAATCTTGTAAACCGTGTTGCAACACGCGATAGGCCGAAAGTCTGTAACTTGTGATAAGTGGGAGGACTTCAGAACAAGCGTGAGGGCCGTATGGTTCCATTGTTTGAGTAGTGAGCCGGAGTGGAAGAACTCTTAGGTGGCCGCCACTACATCACCTCTAACGATGGACCAACTTTTCAAAAACACAGTTAAGGTATAGCCATCTGGCCCTGGGGACTTACCACCCTCGATGTCTCTAAGTGTGTTCACGATCTCAGCTCTGGTGACCAGGGAAATTAGTGCTCTACAATCATCAACTCCACACACGGTCCCGACCGAAGGATTTGGGGATCAACATCCTCTGTTTCAACTCTGGTTCCTAAGAGAGCCTCATAGTCATGGACAAACTCTTTGGCAACTTCCTCCATGGATTCGGTGACGGTGCCGTCTTCCCAGTTGATCGAGGCGATGAAGTTCCGTTTTGTTCGATTTTTTACCAAGCCATGGTAGAACTTGGTGTATTTATCTCCATTGATTTGAAAGTTGCATTTGGCCTTTTGTTGATAGAAGAGCTTCTCCACTTTAGCCAATTTTCAAGCCTAAGCGAAGGCATCTTGGCCTTGGTCTCGGGATCATCGGGGTGGTCATGGAGCTCTTGTTGTGCATTCTTTAGGGCATTCTTCACTTCTTTGGCCCGGGAGGAGATATGTGAGAAAGACTCCTCATTAAGGGCCTTAACCGAGATCTTAAGGTTCTTTAGATTGTTGGCGAGGCGGAATTACCTCGAGCCACCACCACCATGGTTCCAAGAGTTTTGGACATTCAGCAAGAACTGCTCGTGGGCCGTCCACATATTGAAGAACCGCCATGGTGACCCGGTAGTGTTCCTCGCCTCAAATATTGTAACTATGCATGGAGAGTGATCAAAAATACCCGGAGCTAAGAAAGTCACATGCGAGAATAGGCCGGCATTCTCCCATTGAGTGTCCACCATTGCTCTATCAAGTTTCGACCAAACATGATTGTTGGACCAAGTGTAGTAGAAACCGCTTGAGGGGATGTCCGAAAATCCCAAGGCGCTGCAAACTTCCAAAAGGTCCATGGGGTCCCGGTTAGTGACTCTCTCCCCTTTAATTCTCTCCTCCGGTTGGAGGATAACATTGATGTCCCCGAGGAGCAACCAAGGCAAGGAGGTCCTCTCCCGGTAGACCCTAAGGTCATTCCACAACAACTTCCGGTCTCCCCTCGAGTGTAGTCCATAAATAAAGCTAGCAATAAATAAATGGTTGCAAACCTTTCACCGGATCTTAGAAAAAATGACTTGTGGCAAAGCGGCCTCCATCGTGATGTCAACCTTCATGGGGTTCCATAGGATAGCGATGCGCCCCCGGTCAACAACATCAAAATTCTCACAAAAAGCCAAACACGACAACCTTATATTCACAAAGAGAGATAGTCGCCTAGTGTCGGTCTTCGTTTCTAATAGTCCCAAAACGTCAATATTATTTCTCCGGATGAAGTTTACCACCTCATCTTGTTTTAGGAGCCCGTTAAAGCCCCTAATGATCCATGAGGCGATGATCATTGAGAGGAGGAGGGTTGGCCCCCCTTCTTCGTCGAATTCACCTTGCACCCATCTCTCCTCCCGCTTGGTTTGTCTTTAAGTTTGGAGTATTGGCCCGTAGTTTCGGCGACTTTGCTCGCGGCTCCACTACGGGTGAGAATCTTGTTATACTTACCTACCACTTGGAAGAAGTTGTCTTCATTATCTGGATGAGGGTTCTCGTGGACCTCAAAGTCCCCGGTTGGAGAAGAGGAAGAACCGGCATTCGAGGTCACCACTTCTTTCCTTGTATTACAATCCCCGTTGCCCTTTTTCTCTTGATCACCTTTATTTTGGTTTTCTTCTACGACCTCCACCTCTTTGGTTTTGTGTCGCTCCCCATGCTCTTTGTTGGTATTTTCCCCTTTCTTACTTTGTTGTAAATTTTCTTTTGGTCCCACCGCAACCTTGGTAGTCACCATGGTACCAGTTTCTTCGACTGGTTTCTTGCCCTCGGCTATTTTCTCAAGGTGGGCTTTATGCTTCCCACAATTGGAGGTAGAGTGTCCAATGTATTTGCAATGGTTGCAATATTGTGGAACGTACTCATATTCTACCTTTTGCTCAAACATGAATTTCCCTTTGGATTTGACGGGAATGCTATAAACTCTTTCCTTGGAGATGTCGAGCTCCACCAAAATTCGAGCATAGTTGCATCGGTCCCTTGTAGCCGTGAGCTTGTCGGTTGTGATGGGACTACCGACACAAAAGGCTATCTTGCTAAGGGCATTGGTGCTCCAACAATTCCATGATAGGAGGGGGAGATTGATCCAAACGGGGACGGTTTCGATGTCATCCTCGCCAAATTGGAACAAATTGGGGAGCACTTTAATTATGAGTCTTCGGCCGTAAATAGAGTAGGGGCCTCCTTGAAGGACCTTCTCTCGATCCTCTTCATTTTTGAACTTAAAGACGATCCATCAATTCACGTTGGGGATGTATTCATATTGGACTTCCCATGAGTTACATAGCCTCAACAATGCTTCCTTGCCCGGGTGCCTTTAGGTAAAGTACCCGACAAGGCAAAAGCCCCACGTGCTCGTAACGTCCGATAGGTCGTCGTCTAGGTCCACTCTATTGTCTGGTAGAATGTAGTTTAGTTTGAGTCCATGAGAGGCCTTGCGGTTGTCGACAAAGAGAGCCGAGAATGTCCTCTTTCGGTAGTCTGGATTCTTTTGTGTCGTTTTGTCAAACACATTGCGGGCGGGTTTTGAAGGTTGAGTTTTGGCTTGATCTTGGTTCTTCTCTTGCCCGACTTGTTTCATGGCAACTATAGGCTCTTTAATAGCCTCAACCACATCATCAACATCAATTAAGTTCACATTAATATCATCATTAGTTCCCTCATTAGACTTTGAGCTATCAACTTCCATTCTTGTTTCCTTCATAGCTAATTGCTCTTCATCCAAGTCCTCATGGTAGATATCATCAAGATCATTGGAATGCCCGGAGCATTCTTCCTCGGTCAATTTCCGGTATTTGAGGTTTTTCTTTAATTTACCCATGAATGCTCAGTTTTAAGGTTGCTGCGCAAGTCACCTAATGAAGCTTCAGTGGAAAGAAAATAAGTAGCATATGGATTCTATGAAAAGAGAGCACTCAAATCCCATTAACTAGCTCCAGATAACAAGCAATCCACGAAAGTGCTGTTAATTAACGAAAATAAGTAATTTTGTGCGCAACGGGAATAGCTCAAGCAATTGGACTTCAACTCATAGTGGAAGATATTCGGCTTAAAATAATCGGAAAGAAGTGAATAATTCAAGTATGTGAATTTAGGTGGTGAAATCAAATGGAATATCGCGGAAACAAGCTCAAGATTCGGGCGCTAAGATGCGAAATCTTAGTGAGAGATGAGAGCTCCTCTCTCTAACCCCTCGCATGTTTTCTTTTGTTGTTATTATTATTATTATTATTATTATTATTATTATTATTATTATTATTATTGTTTGTGCTAAATGCCTAAATTTTATTAAATGTCTAAATGCGTATTACTATTAAATAAATATTATTGGTGTGTATTATATATTAATTATTATTGTGTATTATATGTATATAGTATCAATATTTATTTTACCGAACCGTGTGATCGAACCGAGAAAATCAGGCCCGTGAGCCATGAAACCGCACCCGAGCCGGTAATGACCCATAACATATCGTTTCAAATTTCTTTAAATGGCCACTTAAATTAGGAAATGGATTTCCTCATTATCATTTGTAATGTTAGTCTTATTGAGCATAGAGTTGAAACTTAAACACATCTCTTTCTCTCCCATATAATTCGACCGTCATTATCTTCACCTTCACCTTACAAAAACTTGGTAAATTTGAGAAAGTTTCACATCTGCTCTCTCTCTCTCTCGATATTTTTGTTTCTCGCGCAACCCTTGATCAGAAGAGAGAACCCGACCTCCCTTGCTTATTCCCTCATCATCGCACCATCTTCCACAATCATCTCTTCTCCATCACCATTAATGTCGCCCTGTTCGAAAACCAGCGCCATCATCAAGCCTCTGATCATCACCATCGCAGCATCGCCATCATCATCTCACCATCAACTTCGCACGCCTTCCTCGCAATTCGTGCCACCATCAGCAATCAACTCTCCGGCGTCAACCAACAACCCTCTGGCGAGTTTAACCTCCGCCGGCGACCCTTCGCGGTGACAAGCAGCTCCCGACGAGCCCCGTCAACCGCTGCTCCTCCTCCGCGAGACGAAGCGCATCCGTCGAGTCCACCGTCGTGCACGTGCTAGCCATTTAGCCCCAGTTCGGCCTGTTTCGTACCCGTTTTCCCGAGAACAGTGTGTGACAAGCTGTGTTTTCGACTGACCTTTTTTCTTAAATTTTTTGTGATTTCTTTCTCCGGATACCAGATGGGTTTTCATTATGAATTGCTATGCCTTAATTGACTGTTATTGTTATGGTATGATCAACGTTTGTATGTGAGCCATGTATCCTTCGATGTGAGCTATATTGGCCGTCGAACGGTTATCCTCGTAGCTATAGAACGTACCTTCAGGTAGTCTCCTCTATTTATGTATGGCAGTCAGGGCATGAGCCTTGGTTTTGATCCTCATATGTAAGGCCAAGGCGAAAGTCTAGGCATTCAGGGTAGATTTACTCCTGCTGGCTGGGCATCGATGCAAGGCCCGAGGGGCATTCGATACACGTATCAGCAGCAGTCTATTGATATAGGTGTGCACATGTGGGTTGACTCTGGGATAGGAGATGGGATATTAATTGATTTTTGTTCATACTGCGACCATACTGGCCTTATTTTTATGAATTGAAATATTAATTATTGCATAGCGGTCGGCACCTCGATTTTCCTATTGTGCTCACCCCCACCTGCTCTTCTTGGATGCAGATTAGTATTTGTGGGCACGACGGAGGGATGCGCGTGGTGGTCTGAATAAATGTCATTGCTTCCGCCTTGTTTTAAATATTGCTATTATTGCTTTATTTATTTTGAACATCAGATTATGATAAGGAGTGTTCTCCATAGTATTTATGCATTTGAGAAACCAGTGTTGGGAGATTGATGTTTGTTGAACCCTTTTTGGAAGTTGCAGTTATGATATTGTGGGAAAATGGTTAAACAATTAGTAGCGCTGCCAATTGTTTTGAAATAAATTTTGAAAATTTATTCTGATTTTCGTCAAATAAAAGTGGGGCGTTACAGAGTTCGATAATATTGCGCGAAAAAAGGAATGTCTTAATTTCCAATATACTATGTCAGTAGAGTAATGCAGAGAGCGGAGTTGAGATATTCAGAGATTGAGAAATGTGCTCTGGCAGTGGTCTAACAGCCAGGAAGTTGACGCCGTATTTTTTGGACCGTAGGGTGAAGGTGCGGGAAAGTATGCCCTTGGGAGAAACTCTTGGCCGACCCTCTGTCTTAGGTCGGCTAGTGAAGTGGGTGGTCGAGCTGAGTGAATATTCAATTATGTACGATCCCAGGAGAGCGATTAAGGCGCAAGTCTTGGCCGACTTTATACAAGAAGGTACGAAGTTGGAGAACGAATCAGAAGGTGTGTAGCAGTTGTCGTGGATGGGTTAGTATCAAGGAGTGGAGCAGGGCTGGGTATTGTTCTTGTTTCGCGCAAAAGGAATTATTTGGAATTTGTCGTCAAGATGGGATTTTGGGTGTCGAACAATGAAGCTGAATATGAGGCGGTCATCAAATGATTTCAATTATCCATAGCAGGAGGTGCTCGAAAGATACAAGTACATTCGGATTCCCAGCTGGTGGTGGGGCAGTTTCAGGAGGGTTTTGGGATAAAAGAGGATAAGATGTAGCGATATGTGGATGCGATGAGAAAGTTGCAAGAGGGATTTGGCTCATTCGAATTGATATAAGTACCTCGAGGGGAAAATGTTATAGCCGACCTATTATCAAAAATTGCCTAGAATTTAGTGGATTGCAAGAGCAGGAGTGTGACTTTGTTGCACATGGAGGGGAGTGCGGTCGAAATAAAAGTGGCGGAGATTGAAGAAGTTGAGGGGTAAAGGTCCTCGATCTTGAGGGAGTTAAGAGAAGGGGTAGTAAAGGTGTTAAATAGATTTTTCGAGCATGGAAAAGTTCTGTATAAGCGGTCGTATGCAGGACCACAATTACGGTGTGTGACTAGGGTAGAAGGTTGACATGTGCTTAAAGAGTTGCATGAAGGGTGTTATAGTGATCACAGCAAGGCAGGGGCGTTGATGGCAAAGATACCAAGGGCGGGTTATTTTTGGCCAACGATGAAAGCATATGCAAAGGAGATGGTTTGGAAATGCTTGCAATGTAAATAACATGGCCCAATTATTCATCAGCCAACAGAAATGATGAAAATGATGAGTGCCCCTATCCCATTTGCACAATGGGGGATCGACCTACTAGGGCAATGCCGCAAGGAACAGAGCAGTGAAAGTTCTTGATTGTAGCGGTTGATTATTTCACGAAGTGGGTGGAAGCTGAGCCATTGGCCAAGATTACGGAGGAGAAAGTGATGCAGTTTTTGTATAACAATATTTATTGTAGGTTTAGAGTCCCAAAAGTATTGGTATCCAACAATAGAACACAATTCAATGGCAAACGGATTCGAGCGTGGTGCGAGGACATGAAGATCGAGCAACATTTCACCTCAGTTGCCCATCCGCAAGCCAATGGACAAGTCAAGGTGACCAACAGAATTATATCAAATGGGATAAAGACAAGACTGGAGAAACCCTTGGGGGCTTGGGTTGATGAATTAACCTCAGTACTTTGGGCATATCGGACTACCCCCATGTCGACGACTGGAGAAACCCCATTCAGTCTGGTCTATGGGATGGAAGCATTACTTCCAGTTGAAGTGGAACTACAATCTCAGAGATCGAACACCTATGATTGCGAGCAGAATGAAGAGTTAATTGTGGCATCCCTCGACCCAATTGAGGAACTCCGAGAGCAAGCCTCGACTAGAGTCGAGGCGTATAAGCAAAGAATACGAACGACACATGACAGAAAATTGAAGATCCGCAGATTTCAGGTGGGCGACTTGGTCTAAAAAATGATTAATGTGCTGAAACATGTGGGCAAACTGGAACCAAATTGGGAAGGGCCATACTTGGTCGAAAAGGTCCCTGTTGGAGGAGCGTATTCTTTAAAAGATGCCGAGGGAAGATCACTAGCTAGGTCATAGAATGTCGCTAATTTGTTGAAGTATTACATTTAAATTTTATCTTTTTCGAAGATGATGTAATTTGTATATTACTAAACATTAATGGAATTTCGTACTCTTATATCGCACTTTTGGATTACCAAAACCTCTTGTTTGGAATGTTGGATGTGATCACCGTGACATTTCGCTCGATGAAGGAAAAATCCACTTGTTTTTTATACGCCCCGCTCAGGGGTGGGCAAG